GTACCGGTTAGTGTTCTTAACCGGCGTTGAGGCAGATGAATCATCACCATTTTTCCATATGTAAATAGTGTTGTTTCTGCTTTTTCAGGGGCTACATCATTTTAATCATTTGCCCTTCTTTTTATGTGTTAGCCTTTTGGCACTCCAGCACTAACGCATCTGCATATTCCTGCCTTTTAGTTCTCTAATTTTGTCACCGCCACAACCGATATGTCGAGGCTTGTTAGACGAGGAGAGGAGAGCTTTGCCTCTGGTCTTTAGGATCAACGAGAGTACCCCTTGAAGACCACTTCATTGATAGGGGAAGAGCATCTTGAGTTAGTGAGAAAAGACCACGGATGGGGGGAGAAAGTTATGTTACAGGCATTTTCCCCGGGTGAAGGCTCACAGATCTTGCCGATGGATTCTTGAATGTGTACACATATCCTTTCACATTGGGCCCCCTTGATAGGGTTGTGCTCGACTTATGCGTAGAATATCGGGTTACCTTGGCGCTAATCCATCTGTCTTATGGCGAACAGTGCTAATGATGAGATTTTTCATGGAGAAAGCGGGGCTTGAATTTACTCTTAGTCATCTCATCAGGCTGTACTGGCCCTTCCACCATCGAGGCCTGCTGACCTTACGATGCCGATCAACCACACCCTTTGTTGTTGATGATGAGGAAGATGAAGATCGGGGGTGGATAAGTCGCTTCGTCCGGGTGCGGACCGCTGACATTATCCCTTTGGAGCTCATGCCATTCCCCGAGGAATGGAATTATACTCGTAAGTGGTGTATCTTGTGCTTTCTCAATATTGCCCATAGCGAGAACTGGTTTCGTAACCGTGCCTTTCCTTCTTATCCTGCAGCGGTTTCATGGGCACCGGGCGACGTTCCTAATCTGCCAGATAGGGTCTGAGAATTGGCGATCCATTTGACCTGTGATGAGCGCAAGTGGCGAGCTTTGTCCCAGGGCATATGGGAAGCAAATTGCCATGGTGAGTGTTGTGCTATACCTTCTTTTCCCTTTTTTTATATGGAGAAGCATATCCACCTTTACGCGCATTAATGTTACTGTTGTAGGCATTGGAGAGCCTTTCGAGATGAGTCCGTGCTCCTTCGGAGAGGGGGAAGGGTTGCCACTCTTGGGCTGAAGAGCGGTAACAATGAACGAGAGGTGCTTTCTCAGGTCGATGGCACTCAATGTAAGGTGAAGCGGGACCGTGGATTCAGCATCATCTGAGCCTATCATGTCCATGGCTCCTGGTTCTAGAAAGAGGGCTTCTCCGTTGCTGTCACCTTCTTTTTCCGTTGATAGCATTTCGAGAGATATCAAAAATCTAGGGTCGCATATACCGAGCAACCATGCTTTGACTGGAGTAGGCTCTTTTAGGGCCGAAGGGATTGGATTGGCAAGCGTGCGTTCGGCCTTCGAGGAAGCCCATCGGCTTCACTTTGCAGTGAGTTTCGGCACAAGTTTTACATGTTTTGCACCTTCCCTTGCTTATTGAGTCTTCTTTTGCAAGCATTCGACAAACTTAAGTCCGGGATGCTTCATTGTGAAGCCAAGATACAGAAAGTTCTAGATAAGGAGAGATCCCTGAGGCTCCTTTAGGACGAAAAGGAAGTCGAGCTGGTACACTTGCAGTATGAGGTGGGTCGGAGCCTTAATTACGAGAACCACCAGAATAAGCAGGTAGTTTTCTGTCCTGAGTTAGTGTGCATTACACCTCCTAGTTCTCGGGGATAATACTTAGTTTACTTCAACTGCAGAAAAAGACGGAGGACCTGGAGCGCCTTCAAGATGATGTTGGTCAGGCCAGGCATGGGCATAATGAATTGAAACCTCATGTGGAGGCTCAGGCTTTAGAGGGGAAGGATGCTCTAGCCAAAGTTCCTGCTTTTGAAGCTCAACTTTGCATAGCTCGTGACAATTCTTTAGTTCAGACAGAAATGATTGCAAAGCTTGAGTCCGAGCTTTCGAAAGTCAGGCTGAGATCATTGATGCCCGGGCAGAAGCCACAATAAGCTGAACTAAGGCTGACTAGGAGATGAAGATCTACTCGAAGGATGCTCCCGAGGTGAGAAGGATCCTCGACCGCGAAGGGAGGATCGAAGAATATGCTCGTTTCATGTCTCGAATAAAGACGCTCGAGGAGATCCGTGATAGGGGTTTCGCCCTCCTAGAAGAATTGGTGCTAGCAAGGGCAGATGAACGTGATGCTCGGTTAATTTTAACCGATGCCGAGGAAAGCGAGGATGAGACCGGCATGTTTGTAGATGGAGGTTGCATTTCTTGCATGTATATGAAAGAAACCCTTGCGGCTTTACTCCTTTCGTATCTTTTTCTATCTTGATTTTGACCAGGCGAGTTATTTTTTGCGTTGGTAGGAATCCTCGGAGTAATGATGTGGCCGCAAGGATCCTTGGACTAGCCCATAGGCTCTTACGTATTTTTGCTCTTAGGCATACTTAGGCCCCCTGTTTTTGGCTCAATCCCCGAGTCTAGCATCGACTCGAGATTATTTGACCTTTGAATGGCCGAATTTTAGGCTGGTGATAGCGACTCTTACACTTTTGGTCGTGTGACCTTTTAGTGTACGTGAGCTGGTGACAATGGCTCTTATGCCTTGGGCCGATGCGGCCTTTCAATGTAAGCTGGCGACGATGGCTCTCATGATTTGGGTCAAAGCGACCTTTTAATATAAGATGGCGACAATGCTCTCACGCTTTGGGTCGAAGCGACCTTTCAATGTAAGCTGGCGATAATGGCTCCCACGCTTTGGATGGAAGTGACCTTTTAATTTAAGCTGGAGACAATGGATCTTAAGCTTTTCCCTTAGGCATGTATAGTTAACTATTTTGGGTTCGGTATCCGAATCGGGTTACGACTCGAGCTCATTTTGACCCTCAAGTTTTCAAATTTTAAGCGGGCGACAGTGGCTCTTATGATTTTGATCGATGTGACCTTTTAGTGTGTGTGGCCCTGAGGCTCATTAGGCTGGCATTAATGGCTCTTACGTGATTGGTCGATGTGACCTTTTGTGTAGGCTTTATTTTCCTTTCGTTAAGGACTTTTGAAGTAATTTTTTCCTGAATCATCATCGTTTCGGGAAGAACCTCAATTTCAAGTAACTTTCGGCAATGTTCGAGCACCTCGGGAGGTTTGGATTGGAGGATAAGTAGCTCGAAGCCTGTGTTTTGGAGCTGACATGGTCGAAGCTCATTTGCCTATGCCGAGGGTAGCCTGTTTAACCAGTTTTTTCCAAAGTAGATTAGGAGTAATTTAAGGCATGTGTGGGCTGGCGACAATGTCTCTTATGCCTTGTAGCGATGGTCGGGCGTCCCCGAGTCGCGTTAGTTCAGCTGGTACAGCCGTGTGACCTGAGTCACTTGTGTTTGGCCGGAGCATTTGAGTCCCGAGTGAAGTATTTTCGGCATCTATATCGAGGGTATGCCTTTTTAGGGGTCTTACAAGTTCGATATATAGCCGAAACTTTAATATCGGGTCTATACCTTTAGTAAGGTCTTACAAGTTGTTCATGTCATTGAGGTCTTACATATTTTTCATGTCGTTGAGGTATTACAGGTTTTTTCATGCCGTTGAGGTCTTACAGGTTTTTCATGTCGTTGAGGTCTTACATTCTTTTCATGTCGTTGAGGTCTTATAGATATTTCATGTCGTTGAGGTCTTATAGATTTTTCATATCGTTAAGGTCTTACAGGTTGTTCATGTCGTTGAGGTCTTACAGATATGGTTGCTTCCTTAGGTAGGTCATATGTGACCGAGTGTGCCCTCTTGGGGTCTTAGGGTCTCGGGTTTTGATAAGTTAATGGAGGTGGCGCTTGATGGTAGTCCCCAAGTCGTTGAAGGTTTCCTGACTCGGGAGCCATTATTCGAAAACTTTGTATTTCCTCGTCGAGGACTTATGATTTTGGAGATCCTGACCTAGAGGTCGTGCATTCTTAGAGATACCGAGCTAGTCCCCGAGTGTCAGAGCACCTTTGGCCTTAGAGATGTTTCGCGATTGTTGCCTCACCTGAGGGCTTGAGATTTTGGAGTACTGACCCAGAGGTCATTCAGGCGTTGAATTGTAGACGCCAGTCCCCGAGTGTTCGGGATGTTTTCGGCGGAAGAGTTGTTTATGCGAAGGTTCTGAGCCTCTTTTGGAGCATGAGATGTTTTGATAACAAATATTTTTCAATTATTTTGTACAAGTGTACACGTTTTCGCCGTCTGGGACTCGACTATATGGACACAGTTTGTTCGACCGTTTGGTCCGGTATATCACTTTCCTTTAGGGACCCGATTCGGTGTCTCTTGACTTTTCCGAGCGGATGGCCTTCGGGGGGAAATGCCCCCCAGTGTTCGAGGTTGATTGCAAAAGAAGCCTCAAACATTTTTTGGGTCTCCCTTAGGTAGCATGCAGATGTTGCTTATTAAAAACCTTGCCAGTAAAACCCTTTTCGAGATAAAAAGTCGGTTGAAGGAAAAGAGTGCAACGGATGCTATGAAACCTTAAGGTCTTCGAGCTGGACTAACGCCCTGACTGCTTCAGTCAGGTTCCTGCCTAAGGGTTAGTCTGAAATACGAAATGAAAAGGGATATGGTTATACCTTAGTGTAAGATGTGCCAGCGACGTTTCGAGGACTGATGCGTCCTAGTTACTCGAGATTTGACGCAGTACGGTCCTTTACTTTGTTCGATCGGGTTTGATTGAAAGTGTGGCTTGATTACCTTTTGAATCTTTTGCGAGCAGAGTTACTGATGTCAGTGCCACATCGTGCACCGCGAACATCTCCCTTGCCGCACACTGTTCCCCGTAGATGGTTTTGATCCCATCCTTTGTTAGGATTTCATCATTTGGTGTAGCATGGAAGGTACTGCTCTCATGCAGTGTATCCATGGCCGTCCGAATAAGGTGTTGTACCTCATATCTCCTTAGATGACATGGAATTTGGCGTTTTGGGTCGTGCCAACCACGGTGACTGGGAGGGTGATTAATCCTTTCGTTTTTTCACTTGCAATGTTGAATTTGTTCAGGACCCGAGTGGCGGGCACGAATTGGTCGATCAGTCCGAGCTGCTCTGCCACTCTCGACCTGATAATGTTGGCCGAGCTACCTGGATCCACGAGCACATGTTTTATTTGAAAAGAATTCACAAGTAAAGAGATTACGAGTTTGTCATTATGAGGTTGAGACAAGGTCTCAGTGTCCTCTTCGCTGAATGTGAGGGCATCTTTAGGAATATATTTCTGGGTTCGCTTTTCTCTGGTGATAGATATTTTTGTCCTTTTCATTATGAGTTCCTGCTGGGCATCGACGCCTCCTATGATCATATGGATGACATGTTGCGGCTCATTTGCTTCGTTCTTCTTGGCCACCTCTCTTTCTCGGAACTGATTTTGTCTCGGTCGCTAAGGAGTTCCCGGAGATGACCTTTGCTAAGTAGTCGAGCTACCTCTTCCCGGAGTTGGTGGCAATCCTCGATCCTGTGGCCATGCGTGTTGTAAAACTCACACACTAAGTTATGATTCCTTTGTTAAGGATTTGATTGTATAGGCTTAGGCCACTTGGTATCTCTAATTTTACTGATGGAAAACACAATGTCTGATACATTGACATTGAAGTTGTATTCTGATAAGTGAAGTGCATATGTTGGCCTTGCGTTCCTATCGAATCTGGCTCTGTTGATGAGTCCCCGAGGATCTTGTCCTCGGTCTATCCTTCGATCATTGTGAGGTAGGTTGCGCCTTGGGGCATTCCTCCTGTCTTCAATTTATGCAGATATATTTCTTTGTATGGTTTTGGCTCCTTTGCTAGGAGCCTACTTAGGTATACTGAGCACGAGGGGGCTCCCAACTGGTCATCTTCGGCCCTGATTTTTGACTGGTACCGGTTCTGGACGTCCGACCAGGTCACAACTGGATACTCGATCAAATTCTATTTCAACTATTTTGAAGCCACCCAGCTTCATTCATTCAGACCTTGAGTGAAAGCCTGCACTGCCCAGTCATCGGAGACTGGCGGCAGCTCCATCCGTTCCATTTTGGAAGCGGGATATGAACTCTCGTAGCATTTCATTCTCTCTCTACTTGATTTTTGACACGCCTGATTTCCTCGTTGCTACATGGATGGCACCGACATGTGCTTTTACGAAGGAGTCTACTAGCATGGCAAATGAATCTATGGAGTTGGGAGCTAGGTTGTGGTAACACATCATGTCCCCCCTTCAAGAGTGTTTCTCCGAACTTCTTTAGTAAGACAGACTCGATCTCGTCGTTCTTTATGTCGTTGCCCTTCACTGCCCAAGTGTAGGCAGTAACGTGTTCGTTGGGGTCTGAGGTCCCGTTGTACTTTAGGAGTTCTGGCATTCTGAATTTCTTTAGAATGGGTTTCGGGGCCGCTTCCTCGGGGAATGGCCTTTGTATGAACTTCTTCGAATCCACACCTTTCAGGACCAGGGGAGCGCCCGGGATTTGGTAGACCCTGGAGTTGTAAGTTTTGACCTTTTTGTCGTTGGCTTCTATCATCTTCTCGCCCGACTCGATCCTCCTGGTGAGGTCCTCGAGCATTTTTACGATGGCGGGATCGATCATCGACCTGTTATTGCTTTATCTCTCTTGTACCTGTTTAGCTGGGGGAGCTGTCCCCGGTGCTACCGTGTTGGGAGTTTTCTGGTGACTTTGCAACTGAGCAATATCTAGCTGTTGTGCCTGCAACATTTCAAAAATAACATGAAGGCTAACCTCATGTTCCTCTCTAATTGGTGTTTCCCGTGCTTCTTGTTGGTCCCCTTGGTGCACCCTCCTGTCAGTGTGGGAGCTTACGTCGATGCGCTGGGTGTCGTGTGAGACCATGTCCATGGGGCCTGGATCTGGTGCATTCCTAGGGTTTTGTTGTGGCACAACAACATCTAGAACAACCACGCCATTTTCCCCATGGTCCTCAAGATTGTTGTTTTCATCTCCGTTTATCGAGTTAGACATTTTGACCTGAAATCGAAGATCTTGGACAAGAAAAATCGTGAAAGATAACTTGCGTTATGTAGTAAAACCAGCAAGAAAATAATCACTATTATTTTTAGCCCCACGGTGGGCGCCAAACTGTTTACCGTGAAAATGGTAAGAACAATTAAATTTATTGATGAGACTCTAAAAATGCGTGATCTATTTTAATGTTAGTTTGTTAAGCAGTTGATGCTAAGTATATGAGATTAAGAGACAAAATAAAGTAAAGGAGACAACTATAATCAAACAGATAGGTCGGTTACTTGGGACCTGAGCTTGATGATTATGGACCTTAAGGTTGATCCCGAGGCTCGGTCACGAGCTATTGAGGGTAATTGGATATGACTAATAGTTATGAGGTAATTAGAGAGGGCTCTTTATGGCCAATGAAAAGCAATAAATGATGAACAAACATGGGGATAATAAATAAAAGCAGTAATTTCAAGAGAGTATGTGAGAGAGCAAAATAGAGAGTTCTTGTATATTTTCCTATGCAATAGCTGAAGTGACCAACCCTTACAAAGAAATAGGAATCTCCTTTATATAGGAGGGGAATCCCTTCATAGTACAAAAAGCATTAATTAAGGGTACAAAGATGTGACAACTAGATGACCCCCTGATTCGGGTCTTAGAGTAGCTCTCTAGGCTTCATCATTCCTAGCCACGTGCCTTGAGAACTCCCCATTTCTGTCGTGTCCAAGTTATCACAAGATCGAGTGACGACGAACCTCGAGAAAGGAGTCTCGATCATAGCCTCGTAGCCTCGTGACTTTGAGATGGTCATCCGAGGTGCTTTGATAAAAAGAAATTGGACCCTCTGATTTCACCATATACAATTGTATAGGATTTGAGGTACGTGCATCTTGTTACCATTTTGGCATGTAGATCGAATTCCCCTTTCAAGACATCACGTTGAGCTGCCTTCTGAGTCGTCCTGCAGCAGCTGGAGACTTCTTTATATTATATTTTCTGTTTATTTCCTTTTAGACAGTAGACTAGTATTCTTTTGTATATCCTACTTGATGCCCACATACCTGTGACACCAGATCTTGGCACACACGCTAGTAGACTTATGATTTTGGATTTGCTTTTGTGATTTCAATTTTCACTTATTTGCTTCTGCTTAATTGTGTTTCATTTGCATATTCCTAAACCTTTTAATAAATAAGAAAATAATATTCACTTAGTAACTTATTTAAAATGGAAAACCACTAGATTAATTAGTGTTGGCTTGCCTAACAACGGTGTTGGCCATTCACAACCTGAAATGGAAATTGGGTTTTGACACATGCGGTGTGATAAGTTGGGCTAAAATGCAAGGGGCTATTTCGGGAAAATGATTTTTAAAACTAAATATAAAGGCCCCCGCGGTGATATAAGGAGAGATTGTGAGTTATTTTGTTTTTAATGATTTGGTACTACGAGGTGGTATCTCGAGAGTGCCATATTGATCTTCTCTACTTGCTGTATTGTTTAGTTGATGTTTCCTTAACATGTCAAATACTTTGTTTCCTTTTGTGCTGTGTTAACTTTCTTAATTTCGTGTTGTTACTTTTCTGTAAATTCTTTATTGTTTCACTTCTTTGTCATTTTCATTTTATCATTATATCTCATGTCTTGTTTCTTATTATCTACAGTAGGGCCTTGACCTAACCTCGTCACTACTCTATCAAGGTTAGGCTTAGTACTTACTAGGTACCGTTGTGGTGTACTCATGCTACGCTTCTGCACTTACTCGTCACTACCCTTTTATCCCGTTCTTTTCTTATTCCTTTACATCTTTATAGATTGTTATGTATAGGAGTGTTCAGTACTATATCTAGAGCTTGTGACTTTTATTTACACATGATTTTGGAAGATGTACATGTTGAGTTGCGGATTTTATTCATATAGTTGTTGATGTTTTTGTGATTTAAATTATTATTTAGTTATTCCCGCGTGTTTGTTAGGCTTGCCTAGTCTTAGCGACTAGGTGCCGTCACGACAACCTACGGAGGGGATTTGGGGTCGTGACACTAAGAATAATGTATAATTTCCCCTTATCTTTTGTAACTATGCCAATACTTTTTAATGCGTTTGGCACTTTAATCAATAAAAGAACTATTGCGTAAGTATTGTGCAAAAGTATCCTTTCTACGTTTAATTGTTAAAGCTCCGGGTATATTTCTTCATCCGTTAACTTTTGATTCCGGGCATAACCACTTCCAGATTCTATCCTTTACTATGAGTGTTTCATAAGAGTGGGCCCTTATGTTTACGGTGCTCTTGAAGATGCATCTCCTGCTCATTCCGGCACAAGCATTTGAAGTTTTTGTTAACTTTCAAATGATAAAAAAATTAACTTATCATTTGGACAAGAAAGAAAATAAAAATAAAAGGACCTTGTTTTATCCCTTTATCTTCAAAAGTACGTAGGCATTCACTATCATAGTAAATAAAATTACCAATACATGTGGCTATCTTGTACAAATTATTTCTACGAGGCTGATGATGTAGTCCCCGTTCCTGATAAGATATTGATCCCAGTTCTGACAATCCCCAATTTTTGTGGCACTCTTGGTGCCGTTTCATGTATTAATTCCCTTAGTGATCGAATGGTAAATACGAGTATTTGAACAATAGAAGTCTTGTATTCATCAAAGGCTTTTCCTTTGTTCTATATCTTCGTGTCGTCGGTGGATATAACTTGTGAATGGTTAAATAATCTCTTCATATTTTGGGAGGCAACGCTTGCCATCGAGCCGAAGATTATTTAACCATCCGTAAGTTGTTTACCATACGAGCTCATAGTCTTCGATATCCATCGATGTGAGAATTTTAGTGCCTTGATACTTAAAGGTCTTGCTTTTGCCGATTATCCTCCCCTTATAGTATGATTTATGTTGTTGCCTCCTTTAAAACCTTGCCAGATAAATCTGATCGGGACAAAAACTGGTCGAAGGAAAAATGAGTGCAGCACATATTTTTCAGTACCGACAGGAATCTTCAACAATAATACCTTTTGAGGTGAGTCACATTCTAATTGCTGGGCAATTTCACCCTATCTCGATTTTCTACTTCGTATGATCATTTACCGGTGATAGCTGAAACTCGGTAAGGACCTTCCCACGCTGGTACCTGTTTTCTAGCGTTGACTTTTCGAGTGCTCTAAGTAACTTTTCTCAAAATCAAAACTCTCACTTTGAAATAGTGGAGATTCTCCCTGTGAGTATAATATCTTTCCATCATTTGCTTTTGGGCCACCATCCTCACGCATTCCAGGTCCCGACATTCTTCAAGAAAGTCTAGCTTTACCAGCAACGCTTCATTATTCACTTTTTGGTTTGCTTGGGAAAATTCTCAAAGTCGGCTTCCCCACTTCCACCAGTAATAGAGCCTCCGAGCCGTATACAAGAGAAAAGGGAGTTCCTCCCATACTTGACTTCGTCGTGGTCCATTATGCCCACAACAACTCTGGTAGCTCATTTGGCCACTTGCCCTTAGCATCTTCCAATTTCCTTTTAAGATTTTTGATGATTATCTTATTGGTCGACTCTGTCTACTTGATAGCACTCGAATGATATGTTAAAGAATTAATTCACTTGATCATTAACCATTCACAAAATTTAGTGACTTTTGAACCCTTGAGCTGCAGCCCGGTGTCAGAAGCAATCTTCTTCGGTATTCCAAATCGTCAAATTATGTGGTACCATGTTAAGTTAACCACTTCGCATTCTCTGACCTTTTAGTAAGGACCTGTTTCAACCCATTTAGTGAAGTAATCATTAAAACTAAAAGGAATCTTACCTTCTCAGGCTCTGTGGTAAGGGACCAACTATGTCCATCTCTCATTTCATAAATGGCCATGGGGACACCAAAAGTTTTGATGGTTTGTGCACTAAATGCGCATGACGTTGACATTTATCATAGTTTTGTAAGAATGTCTTTGCGTCCTGTTCCATTCGGGGCCAATAATAGCATGCCCTAATCAACTTTAGAATTAACGAGTTTGCATCAGAATGATTTTTGCAAACTCCTTCATGCACCTCCCTCATTACTTAGTTCTCCTACGAGGCCCCTAGACACTGAGCCAGTGGTCCTTAGAATTATCTCATGTATAACTTCCCATCTACAAGGCAGTATCGAGCTACTTTATTCCACAGTGCCCGCGATGCCTTTGAGTGTTCGGGTAACTTGCCATGCCTGAGATATTTAATGATCTCGTTCCTTCAATCCCAAGTTAACATGGCTGAATTTACTTTGCAGTAGTCGTCCACATCCAATACCAAATGCATTAATTGGACGACCGCACCAGAATCTGAGCTTTTTATCTCTGTAGATGACCCCAAATTAGCCAATACGTATGCTTCTACATTTTCTTCCCTCGGAATGTGGACGATTGACCATTATCTTAATCGTGCAAGTAATGCTTGAACCTTATTGAAGTACTGTTGCATCCGCTCTTCCTTTGCATCAAAAATCCCATAAACTTGGTTGACCACCATCTTGGAGCCACATTTTACCTCGATGAGCTCAGAACCTAGTCCCCGAGCTAGTTCTAGTCCTGCAACCAAAGTCTCATACTCAGCTTCATTTTTAATTAATGGTACAGTTCTAATGGCCCGTCTTAGAATATCCCTTGAGGGAGTGATTAAAAATAGCCCGAAACCAGACCCTTTTACATTGGAGGCTCTATCCAGAAATAAGGTCCAAACTCCCGATGGCATTCATGACAACAACACTACTTCCTTAGCAGCCAAATGCATTAACCCCCTGCCAAAGTCGGCCAAAACTTGTGACTTGATTGCAGTCTTGGGTTGAAACTCAATGTCGAATTCGCTAACATTGTCTGCCCATCTAGCCAAACGGCCCAACAACTCAGGCTTATGAAGGACATTCCTAAAGGGAAAGGTTGTCACAAAATCCATTAGGTGACATTGAAAATAAGGCCTAAGATTTCGAGAGGCACTTACGAGAGCTAAGGCAAACTTTTCAACGTGCAGATATTGTGTCTGTGTCTCTGCTCCTAATAGTATTTTACTAACGTAATAAATAAGAAATTGCGTACCTTCATCTTCTCGGACCAGAACGACACTTACCGCTACTTCTGAGACCAGTAAATAATTAGCAGTTGTTCAACTTCCCCCCATTTAAACAGTACTGGAGGACCAGATAGGTACCTTTTAGGTCCTTCAACGTCTGCTGCCATTCTGGAGTCCACACAAAGTCATTCTTCTTTTTCAAAAGAGAAAAGAAGTGGTGGCACTTCTTTGAAGACCTTAAGATGAACCTGCTTAGATCAGCCAACCTGCCGATTAGTCTTTGCACTTCTTTCCCGCTTGTTAGCTGATTTGGGATGTCCTCGATGGATTTGATTTTGTTGGGGTTTACTTCGATCCCTCTTTGTGACCCTAGAAACCCTAAGAATTTTCCGTAGCTGACCCCGAAGGAACATTTCTCGGGGTTGAGTTTCATGTTGTACTTTCTTAGGATGTTGAAAGTTTTGTGGAGATGCTTCAGATGATCTCCCGCAATTTAAATACTTAACTTGCATGTGATCTATATATACTTCCATCATTTTTCCTATATACTTTTCAAACATTTTATAATGAGCATCTGATAAGTGACTCTTGCATTCTGAAGCCCAAAAGGCATCACATTATAACAATATGTCCCGAAATTTGTGATGAAAGAAGTTTCTTCTTGATCTTCTAGGTTAATCCTAATCTGATTATACCTGGGGTAAGCGACAAGAAAATCATCAACTCGTGCACGACTGTCACATCAATCATTTGATCAATGTTTGGCAATGGGAAAGAGTCTTTAGGACACACATTATTCAAATCTTTATAGTCTAGGCACATTTTAAATTTGTTATTCTTTTTTGGTACTACAACTATGTTGGCTAACCATTCCAGATACTTTACCTCCCAAATTGAACTGATATTGGGTAGTTGGGTTATTTTGTCTTACTAATGGGATGTTCAGATCCAAGCTAAGTTTGTGGACTGCTACCTCTAATGGAATTCCTGTTATATCCGAATCCAACCCTGAAAAGTAGTTAATGTTATCTTTAAGAAAATTTATAAATTCTAACCTGATCTCGGGACTTAAACCATGTCCCCAAAAAAATCTTTCTTTCCAAGAATTCCTCAAACAGGGCCACCTGTTCGAGCTCCTCAGCGGTTGACTTGGTTGCATCCATTTCTTCTGGTACTTAGAAGGTCCTTGGTACCTGATAGGATTCTGATGTCTCCTCGCCTTTATCATTTTCAATCGAGAAGGGATAAAGCACTAGTTCCTGTAATTGCTATTTGTTGATTTCTTTTATTTTGATGTTGGTTGGTATCCTTATATCTATCTGATCTCCTCATATGTCGGAAACTTCAACAATTGATGAAATGTTAAAGGCACATCCTTCATCTCGTGTATCCACGGCCTTCCGAGGATTCATTTTAACCCATATCGCTATCTACCACTTCGAATAAAGTGGTCTTCGCTACTCTTTTGGCATATGTGGGATCGAAAAATCTCTCCTGGAGTTCTCACACTTGTCAAATTAAAGCTATCAAGAATCTTTGTCACCGGAATGATGTTCCCGGTTAACTTCACTTGCTCCAGAACTCTCCATTGTATGATATTGGCTGAGCTTCCTGGATCAACCAAAGCACACTTGTTTTTTAAATCTAAAAGATTGAGAGAGATTACCAAAGAATCGTTGTGTGGTAGAAGAAGTCTGCCAGTGTGCTCCTCGTGAAGATGATGTCATCTTCCAATACTTTTCAGAGTCTATTTTTATGAGTCATCGATATCATCATTTTCTTCGCTACTGAAAAAGTTAGCCCATTGACTTCATTTCCTCCGAATACCATGTTAATGTTCATCGAAGGCGATCTTACTGATGTTTTCGTTGGCTCCACATTATGCCAGATCCGACCATAATTATTTTTGGCGTGGTCACTTAAAAACTCTCTAAGATGGTCATTCATCAGTAATGTTGCCACCTCTTTGCAAAGATATTGATAGTCCTTGATTCTATGGTCGTGGGTCCCATGGAACTCACACCACAAACTAGGATCCCTTTGGTTAGGATCCGATTGAATTGGTTTTGGGAACCCTGCTTCTTTAATATTCCTCATCGCCATCACAAATTCTACCAAGCTAATTTTAAAGTTATAATCGGATAATTTGGGATATGTGAAATGTCATGACCGGGAATATCTTTCTCTCGTAATGACCTATTATTCTATCCATGATCCTTCCTTCTGCGGAACCTAGCGTATCCCATAATTGAAACCCTTTAATGTTACACCCATCAGTCTTCTCGTATGTTAAAAAACAACCTCTGGAATACCTTCGACCTGCATCAAAGTCATTTTTAAACCTATTCCGATTTTTATCGCGACCCGGTCCTTTGGATGACCCTAAAGAACCTGATTGGTCGTCTTCTATGCTTATCTTCGATTTGCAACGATTGGGGACATCTGCTCATGTTGTTGCCTGAAACTCAAGCAAGCTCTACTCAATTTTTGGGAGGCATCGGAACTTAATGGATCGAGACCCTTCGTAAATGCCTCTGCTTCCCATTCATCCAGAACCACTGGTAGTAACATTCTTTATTTCTAGAATATAATTACAAATTCCTGTAACAACTCAGATTCTCCTTGCGAAATTTTGAATATGTTCGCCTTTTTGGTCTAAACCTTTTTTTTCCTCCGGCGTGGGCATTAATGAACGAATCTGCAAGCATCTCAAAAGAATCGATCGAAAGCTCAGGTAAGAGAGAATACCATGTCAAGGACCCTTTCATGAGGGTTTTGCCAATCATCTTTAATAGAACTGACTCGATATCATATTGAGCCAAATCATTTCCTTTCACCGTCCTAGTGTAGGTTGTGATGTGCTCTTGCGGATCAGAAGTCTCATAGTATTTTGGTATGTCCGGCATCTTGAATTTTTTTGGAATTAACTCTGGTGCTGCACTTGGCTTAATGGAAACTGCATGTACTCTTTTGAATTCGAACTCTTTAACACTGGTGGCGCGCCCGGGATCTTATCTATCCGAGCATGAAACTCCTTCACATTCTGATCCATTACTCATTCATCTCTCTCATGAATCGCATGATCTTTGTTTTGAAAGGATCTCTCCGATTTTTATTCTCAGATACACTTCCGGTCCCTCTGGCTTCGTCAAAATTGACTTTTTTCCTTGCGGTATTGTTATTGGATTCCTGAGCCGTTTGATTTGCAGGAACACTGGGAGGAATCAAGCCCCTTCCTTACAAGTTATTGGAAGCACCTAACAGTTCTTGTTTTAACTCTGTCATCAACTGATCTTGCCTTGAGAGGTGATCCATGATTGCTCTTTATTTTTCTCTTATGAGTTTGACCGTCTTTACAACATGTCCATCCTCTGCATCATCGGGAGTTGGGTCCCATAAGTGCCCAGGGAATTGACATTCACAAACCGAGATTGTTACATCTCCTTCGTTATGGGTCTCGTTGATGGAATCACCATGCTGGATACTTCTTTCTGTAAATCATGTGTTCCTGCTTTGTGAGTGTTTTTGAATTTATTATCTGCCATATCTGGATTTTACTAAGGAAAGAACCAACGCTTGTTAGTAATAAACAAATGGATCAAAGCAATTACGTAGCTATCTATGTCTGGCGCCAAACTGTTTACACGTAAAACAGTATAGTCGAATTTATAACGTAGTTTATAGACAGGCGAACTAATTTGACCCAAAAATAATAAAGAAATAGAACAAAAAGTAAGATTAATGATGTGAATTAAAGAATATAATGAGCATGGCTCTGAACTCGATCTTTCCGAAAGCAGAAATGAAAGCAATGATAAAGTGATGATAAAACTATTATATTGAGCGTAAAATAGTGAAGTACAATTTTGTAGGCATAATATTTTTCACGTCCTATAATGATTGTAAACCTCCCATTTATAGCTCCACTGATGGAGACAAGATCCCCAAATTAAGTTTTTTCTTAAATGAAAATAAATGCATCATTGATGGCTGCTTAACAACTGTCTTTGAATACAAATATTATCTGTAACAACTTTTTATTGAATGCAATCCGATGTCAAACCTTTGAACCTCTATTACGCTTATGCTTCCTTCGGAATACATCTTGTACCGGTTACATACTTTACACCTAGTGCCAGTTATCTTCTAATTCATCTTTTTTATGTCTTCGATTCCATGTGTCATCTTTTTGTTTAGCCACTCATTATAAGTAAATTTTACTCCATACAACTGTACTACCACGATAATTTTGTGGGTGGTATCTAACAAAAAAATATGATAATTTTATTTTAATGACCCGATCGGTCGATTTGAGCTCTAGCACGTCGTTCACTAGTTTGAGGCCATAAGCAGCTTTATTTCAGGTATTATGACTTGTACGCACTATCAGAATTGAATTCCGAGAAGATCGAAGTTGATTTCAAGAGAGAATTCTCATTTCGGAAGTTTTAAGTTGAAAGAATTGACTAAGATTAGATTTTTGAGCAAACGACCTCGGAATTAGGATTCGAAGGTTTCAGAAGGTTTGTATGATGATTTTGGACTTGGACGTACGTCTGGATCTGGTTTTGGAAGACCCGGGAATGGTTCGGCACCTATTGTGGAAGTTAGCATTTTTTGAAGAACTTCATAAATTTGGGTTGAAGTGCATTTCATTATCTTCGATGTCCGTTTGGGATTCTGAG